TATTGAAAGAACTGCTCAGACACACAGCATATATGTATCTGGCGATAACAGCCAAAATGACTCTTACAGACATTGCAGGATCAGTACTAGAGGTAAGGATAACTAATCTATCAAATGATTTTGGGAAACAAAATCTTAATTTGCTGCTTCAGAAGGATAGAACTGTTGAGGTATTTAACCCTTTCCAAAGTGTCTTACCGCCTCTCTGTCAAAAGCAATGGCAAAAATCCTAACTGGTTTCAGTACTGCAGGATCAAACTCCAGGTGCTGTAGGGCAATTGCATACTCAATGCAAAGAATTTGGGGGGGTGGGACTGGGGAAAAGTATCTTTAATTTAGAGTCTATATAATCATTTTTTATCAGAGATTTAATTTGGTTAAGTTTAATCAGGTAGCTATTGTATAATTTAAATGGCTGATGATTGTTATTTGATAATAACAACTTATATTTATATAGTGCTGTATATCCAAATTTATATAGTGCTGTATACCCCAAAGGGATCCCCAAGGACTTTAAAGACTCAACAATAAAATACACAAGAAAGTAAACATTAATCACTATTACTAGAAAATATAAGGATATTAAATATCTGTCATTCTGTGACTTTCTTCTGCTCTCATTTGGATTCATTAGCCAAGCTCACTCAGAGTGCAAATGGATTATTAGTGGTTCTGCCATATTTGATGTAAGACATTTTCTGTACAAGTATTGTAGTGAGAATAGAGAAGGGTAGAAAAGGGTAAAAAATACCCTTCTGAGGTTGCCTACAAAATCAGCTTCCCTCATGCAGGTCACTTAAGTGGGTTGTTGTTTTTGAACTCTGTTGAACTCACTTGGATTCATCCCTTTCTTGTCTGGGTGGTAGTTGTACTGTGCTGAGCTCTGTGAGACTGGCTCCTTGTTAAATGGGAGGAGACTAAACAGGTTATCTTTCAAATGCCACATGCCTACAACATCAGAGTGGGAAGTCATATAGCGTATTGTACAACCTGTGCTGTTTTCATACATAAGTCTTGTAATAATTTAAACTTCAACCCTGTTATTGCCATTTTTTGGTTATCAGTGTTAACACCTCACTGAGGTGAACAGAGCAGTTTACACTTCTCAAGTTGCTTTTCCAGGCTTTTATAGGTTCAAGTCCAAATTCCTTCACAGAAAGAGTTGTTGAGCATGGGAATAGGCTGCTCAGAGAAGTGGCTGAGTTCTACCCTTGGAGGTATTTGAAAGACATGTAGATGTGTAGATAGGATTTGGTTTAGTCATGGACTTCAGTAGTGTTAGACCATTGAGTCCCGGTATTAACTTTAAGAGTCTTCTCCAACCTTAATGATTCTATGATTCTAGGTGTCTAGCTTTGCACTTTCTTTCCTTAAATGCATAACGTCAATGCTGGAGAAAAAGGTGAAAGTTTGAGGGATGTTAATGTGTTGTATTGTAGCATCTCGTGTAGCAGTATCTTAAAACTGCAGGTGGGAACTGGAAAATCCAGTGCAGCAGGCACTTCATGGGCAATTTGCATGAGGGCAGTACCTGCCTTTGAGAGATCACTATCTAGGACTTGAAAAACACAAAATTGAGAATCCCAGAATTGTTTGGGAGGGGAATCGGTGAAGTGATGGGACTACTTCCAGAGTAAAGTCTTGCTGATCACCAAAATAGAGGAAGGAAAGCAGATGCTGATTTTGTGGATGGTTAATATAGGTGGCTTGCTTTGTTTTTTTTCTTTTCCATTGTATAATAAAATCTAGATGAACTTCAGATTTCCAGAACCCCAGAAATCCTTTTGAATTATAAAGTTTTTTCAACTGTTGAGACAAGTTGTTTGTTTGCACCTAAAGATATACTTCTACTAAACATAAATTAGGGATGTCAGAGTTCTTAGCCATCGAGATGATTTTCAGTTTCTGAAAATATTAATTTTCCTGGGCTTTTGGCCACAACATATAAAAACATTCTACCTTGAATAATTTCTTCTTAAAATCATAATTATTTCACGATCTCAGAGCTTTTCTTTAGTTTCTGTTTTGACACTTAATCATTGTGTGAAAGGTGTTTGCTGATCCTGCCTTGTTTTTCAGATTTGTAATGAAGCATGAGGGATTTTTACATTTTGTGGTGAAAGTTTTGCATGGGTCTTACTGTAAATCTTTCACAATATCTTTAATTTGTTTATTTTTGGGAGATGGAAGAAAGGGAAATGGTGACTTACAAAGAAGTTTTCTGCTCCATTTCCTCTATGTAGCAAATGATAATTCTCAAGTACAAATGCTGCTACATCCAAGACACTAAGCTCTAAGTTCTGGTCATAGGTACATGCACTGGTGGCCTATTTACTAACCTGTATTCTGCAGAATTTTTTTTGTAATATACTTAAGAGGCTAATCTCTGACTAAAGTTGAGCAAACATGCTGAAATCAGTATGCACGTGGAACTTTCTGAGGTTCCCTAACACAGTGTTTTGTGTCATATCTTTCTGATCCCACTACAGCCAAGCATTGGTAATCAAAACCCATGTAACTCCCAGGGAAATGCTATAAATAATGCTATAAATGCTATAATAATAGGTTGACCAATTGCACTTGTGATCATTAGGTCTTGGAATAGGATCCAAGTCTTTTCACTCATCAGTGATACACAAACTAGTAGAAGAATGTTAGTTGGACAGTGTTTTGTGTGTCATGCTATGTTCAACACAACCCTGTTATAAATGCACATATATGAAAAACATATGTGCATATGAAAAACAAATTCACTTTTTATATGGAAAGGTGTAGCTTTTCGCTTACTGCTCCACAGCATTGTAGGGAATTTCTCTCTTGTTCTCGTCAAAGTTGCCTTATATTTTGAAAAGTCTCGGTAGATCCTATTACAAAAGAATCCAGACAATGACATTATCTTCTCCAAAAGGAAATTGGTATTCTCCCTCGGAGGGACTTTAAAAAATTATTTTATCATTTATGAACTTAAAGAAAAAACTTTTAGTTTTATCAGTTGGAATTTAAGGACTGAATTTGTAATTGCTAATCAAAATCTACCTGTAGGAGCAGCAACTAGACAGAACCTCTTGTTTCACTTGTTTAAACATAAATCTCTACAATTTGAGATTAAATAGATTTACCTGGGTTACTAGTAGTAGCTCTCTCTTCTCTGTGCCTCGAAGGCTATCTACTAAAAAGTGGAAAGATGCATGCATATGTGTGTGACAGAGATGTCACAAAATGTGACTAGCTTTGTTGCCAATATCATTAGAAATGGGTGGATTTTGTGGAATGGAAATGAAATGGAGGCTGGATGGAATAATTTTTTTATTTGTAGTGAAACCAGGTAATATTAAAGTTATTTGAAATCCCAGTGGTAGGGACTTAGGTACAATGTGATAATTGCAGTTATTTCAGAAGGAAATAAGTAAATAAAAGTAAATAAAAAGTAAATAAAAATAAATAAAAGGTAAGACAGATTAACTCAAGTCACAGCCTTTACATTTTGTTAAAGTTTGTGTTTTTAGAACAGAGGCAGAGGGTACCTGACCTGAATGTCAGTGCTCTAGTGAAAGTTTCTGAATGAAACTAGTCTGTGTTTGTGAAAGCATGAAACTGTTAAAAAGAAACTGCCACTTTCACGCTGTCACATATAAAACTCATGAGCTGAGCAATGAAGTGTAGAAAAAGTCTCCATTGTTTGCCCAAGAAAAACAGTGCATGTGTCCTAGTATAAATGGCTCTGGGTTTAGTTTTTATAGCGTTTGGTATCCGTCTGTAAGATTCAAATGAGAGATGATATAAATGAGAACATGAAAGGTCTAGGATTTTGTTATGAAAACTTTTTTTCAAAATACTTCTGCAAATACCTTTAAAATGTTGAAGAAATACATTAAAACTAATCTCAAGAATGGGAAACAATTGGGAATTATTATTACTGCAAATCCTATAAAGCATCTCCTTGTATATTTATAGCATGCAGAAAATAAAAATAATAGCTGATTAGAAGTCTTGACTTAGAGCTCTCTGTTCCCTCTCCATATTGGATAAATCTCCTACTGATGGATCAAACATTTAATCAATCTACTAACATGGCCTTCAGCACTATAGTATCTGAGTGCCTCCCAGTGTTGGAACGCTCAATAATGCTTGGTTTTTGTCCAGTTACTCTGTACTCCTTAATTTGATTTTGTTCTTAGTTACATTGATGTAAATCTAAAACTACTCCATTGATCTTGATGGAGCAAGCCAGCATTTATGAGCCTGAAGATCAGAATCTAACCCTCCTCCTGCAATTCCCCAGCTATTCTCAAGTTATACTAATAATATTTCTTGGAGTTATTAATCTGCTCTCTCATTTATTCTCCCTGTTCCTGCTTCATCTTTTTTTCTTCTGCTGCTTTGGGTATGATCCAAAGTCCACTGAAATTGCTGTCAGTCTTTCTATTGATTTCAGCTAACTGTGGTTCAGTTTCCCATTTGCTTCTCTCTCTCTCTCCTTTTTCCCCCCTCTGTAGGCCCTGAAGGTTCCTGTGTGAGTTTGTGTCTGTCTAAGTAGAGAATTCTAATTAATTAAAGTTACATGTATTACTACAGTTCTGTGAATAAGCACCTTGCTGTATTGGGATCCTAATCCCCATCTTTTCCTTAATACTTAAATTAAGGAAGCAAGGAAATAAGAGTATTTCCTTAGGAAATACTTTTTACTAAGGAAATAATTTTCTTATTTCCAAGGAAATAAGAGTATTTCCTTGCTTCCCTCAGTTTAGTTTTCCTGTAGTGAGATCCCCCCTCTCCTCCTCATGCTGCAGGTCTTGCTCTAAGGTTCAGCATCTCATATTTTAGGGAGACCTTTGCTAAGGGCCTGACCTGAATTTGTGGAAAAATGATTGGAGAAACTCCACTTACTTCCTTGAGATTTTTTCTCAGGATAAAACTGAATGTGAATAAAGTTTTGAATGAGATGGTTGTGGCTCTTCCTTTGATATATTTTTTCTTTTCTTTCTCCTCCCTGCCTTCAGTGTTGGAATCAGAAGAAAATAAAAAGAAGAGGAATTGAGAATTTAATCTGGGAGACTTGGCAGGTAAGACATGTGTTTTCTTACTTACTGGCAAGGTGGTTCCAGCTGGGCTGGCTCAGCTCTGAGAGACAAGGCTGGCCCATGACCTGCAGAGTCAGGCTGAGTTCTGTTTTCCTTCACAGCCTTTCTGCATAACCATGGGTAAATGCTTCACTTTGTTGGTTCCTCACCTGCAATGAGGGCAGAACTGCTTCCCTGCCGTGGAAAGGGTGAATTGAGAAATGCAATAGAGGCTGGAGAATAATAATCTGGAATAATAGGTGGCAGCATGTACTTGGACAAAGTTGGCCAGTTCAGGGGTGACAACTGTTGTGTGGGCAGCTGAGCTGGTGTTTGCATAACTTCAAGAAATTCTTTACTAAGGTACTTGTGTGATATCTGTAACTTTGTTGTGTTCTCTTCTTTGAAGACTCATTTGATTACTTTAGTCTCGTTTCCTCTTCTACATGGTTTTTAAACAGGGTGGAGGTGGAATGCAGTATAATCAAGATACAACACTTGCTCTCATATAAAAACTGTGCTGAAAGGACAATAACAACTTTGGAAAGCCAAGCATTGCGGTTAAGAACTGCAGTTTCAAAGATTGATCCAAGGGGCTTACTTGAGATACATCTGGGGACAAAAGCCACAAACAGGCTACCAGTTTTTGAGCCTTCCTCTGAACCTTGAAGTGCCAGAGTGCTTTTTTTCAGAGAAAGAGCTTGGAGAATTTTAAACATAATATTCCTTAACCTTTTTATTGGAAAAAGTTGTACTGTTTCCAAAATGCTCAGCCTGCGGCTCTCATGCATCATAGATAAATCAGCCAAAATAGCAAAATATTGGCAGGGTATGAACAACTGCAGGTAGTTGTTTAATAGCTTGTGTCAAGTAATCTTAATAACAGGTGTAGCTACTGATCCAGTCAATTATATAAATTGTCCTGCAATCTTTTCTGGATTCTTACTGAGACAAAGCTATTGATACGCAAGATGTGCCTGAGTGAAACTGCAGTACGAGTCACTGTGACTGTCTTAAAAAACAGAGTTTATCCAAGCAGGCAGTGACTGATGTATTTCTGCTTCTCTGCCTCTCTTCATAGCACGCTGTAGCAAGAACCCTTGATTTTCCTCCCCCTCCTACAAATTTGTGAGAATACATTTCAATTTTAATATTCAGTATTCCAGAAGATGTAAATAACACCAAAATAAGTATTGCCCATTTGAAATTTCCTGCTGGGTCCACCTATCATGCTTTGTCTTACGTGGGGATAATAAGGTCTGTGGCAGCGAGTGCCCCCCTTACTCATCTGCACAACCTTTAGCGTAGCACTGTTGTACTGCTTTTTGGAGGGGGATTTTAGCAACACATCACATGAGAAATACCTAACTCCTGTGGTTGAGAGTTTGCAGGCACATAGACCAAGCTTGGCCCAAACTCGGAGGTCAAAAGAAGTTCGTGGCTGATAAAACAATAAATCATTTTCTAATCTGAAATAATTTGGTCCCTAGCCCTTATGAGAAGACTTATCAGTGTTAACTAAATGGCAGCATTGTAAAAACAGATTTTCAGTTGCAAAACTTTTGGTCTGAGAATGAAGTATTTGTGTTTTCACTGCGTATGTCACTAATAGACCTCTATGAAGCTCTACATGAAGATGATTAGGGATGAGTTGTTTGGTTTGGAAAAATTTATCTTCTGGGTTTGGATGTTTCTGTTGTTTTAATTTGCGAGTGCTTTCTTGAAATTTTCAGAACCATATACTGGCATCTGTTTCTTGCTGTGAAGTTACATTATCTCCAAGCAAACCAGTGAAATGAATCAGGCTGTCTCCTTATGTGTGCTGGGTCATATGTTTAGTATTAAAGCTCGGTTTCTGTGCTATTTCATAACAGTTTAGTAGTCTGCTAGGAACTGGTAGTTAAAGTATGGCAGACTTGACATAATTCTTCAGGCTCAGCCTCTGTTTCCACTGCCTTTGATCAGGATACATTCAACTCTCAAATATTTACAATTTTTTTTTTCCCATGTACTCCTTTTGATTTTCATAGCTGTGCCCTTCCACGCAACATGAATAGTAAGTGATTTCTTATTACAGTTCCTTAGCATATAACCATTATGTTACTGTAAACTCTGATCAAATTTGGACTGTAAGTGGCAGTATGAATAGAAAGACACGGTTTTCCCTACAAAGAGTTTGGAGTTAGTGGTAACAAGTGACATGGAAAGGTGGAGAAGACAACTGTCAAAAACAGCATGTTCATGTATATACAAATATATGTAGAGATGTATATATCCTTGTTTACCCCTGCAGTTTAACTTCATATTTAAAAAAAAAAATGACAGTAGAAAGATTAATCTCAAAAAAAAATTGAACCATGTGGCAGAACGTGTCTTACTGATAGAAATGAAAAGCAGAGATCGAAACAGGGGGGATGATGGTATTTTTTCTGGGTAGGTTGTCTTAGTCATTAAAAACAAATTATTCAGCCTTTTCCCAAATAAAGTTAGAATTTTTATGACTCCCCTCTATATGATTTTGATAAGAAAGAGTGGGTATTGGTACAGTTGCAGAAATTTCCTCCGCACAGATGCGGTAAAGCATGTTAAATCTGTAGTCTGCAATTTGGACACCCACTGAGAGTGTAGTTCTATGAAACAATGCGAAGTTTGTCTGAGGTTGCATGCTCACCTCAGATCTTGCTTCTAGGTTGGTAAATTCTCATTATACTCCCATTTTCTGTTCTGGATCTGGTTTCGGTCAACCTGAGAATTTGAGTCTGTTTGTATGGCGACAGTGGGAAGTGGACTAGGAGAAATTGCTGTTACTGTATTACTTCCCCTCCAGAAAGTCTCAAAATGAAGCCAACTGCTAAATTGGTAATCTGCAAGCTCACAATATTTGCATACATTTCTGAGTGTGGCTGTGAGAGGGAGGAAGCCCCTGTTCTTGCACACCATTTGTTTTCTGTGTCATCCTCAACTTTGAGATCTGGCTCTTTTATTTGCATGGAGGCTCTAGTTATAGTTTGTTTTGTGCTAGTTTTTGTAACCAGGACTTGTTTGCAAGAGTGGCTGGTAAGTGGGGTACCTCTGTGTGACTGAATATTTGACTCACCAGGTGTAAAGGAGCAAGTCCAAACATACTGTGATTTTTCATTGGAGTGTTCATATTTGAGGGTGATTATGTCTTTGTGGATTTCAACTGCAAGAACAGTCACCTAAAAGAATGAATTAGAATGAATTTATAGCACTGAAGATACTTGGGATAAAGTTCTTATCCTTTCATTTTGCACCCAGCAGTATTTCAGGTAACTGAGAATCAGTGGAGACTATTCACAGATTACACAAGCTAAAATAATGCACATCCTCCACTGATACATCCATGAAAATGGGATCAAACAGGAAGGGGTAACTAAAGAAGTTGAGTGCACCTGAAAACGTGTGAAATGTCCTTTCACATGACCCATTCTGACAACCAAAAACTATTTGTTTAAGTTTCTCTTCCTAAAAAAGTTTCAATGCAACCAAGACCAGATATTTTTAAAGTAATCCTGATGGGTTTGAGTATCACATTATGTGGGATGGGTGGAGATCTCTTGCCTAAGCATCACAAGCAATGAAAATCATGTGTCTAAGGAATAGCAGATGACTGATCAAATGTGACCTCTTGCTAAAAGCAGTGTTGCTAGGGAAGCTGAGATGAGATTGAGAGCGCGAAGGTGTCACTAGAGTCTTGGCAAAATTAAATTAAATGAACAAGTTGGTTTTTATATGTGTCCTGTACATGAGTACACTTTAGGTGCATTATTTTCTTTCTGAAAACTGGTTAGTGGGGGTGAATCAGTGTTAAAAGCTCAAGCATTTCATTCAGGCTTCCCAGTGGAAAGTCCTGTTGCTGTTTCCAGTCCTGGTCTGCAGGATCTCACCTGCCCTGGTGTAGTTGAGCCCACTGAAGGGCAGGGTTTCTGAAAAGCTTTGCCTTTCTTTGGCTTTGAGGCTTATGTGTGGGTGTTAACTTCTTGTTCTTCTTTTTTTTTTTTTTTTTTGAAAGGGGAAATGCTCTTTATTTAGGAAAAATAAATTGGTCAAGAGCTTTCCATCTGTCTGTGCATGTTTAATTATGCTGCTTTCCACGGGGAGGTGTTTGTCCAGTTTACCTGGAAGCAGTGTGTATCTGGACTGTTTTTCAAAGGTCATGAGTAAGTCTCCTTCTAAAGCTGGCATGGTGTTGTGGGCACCTCAGAATCTGTCAAAATCAGCTAATGAGCATTTTTAATGGTTTCCTTTAAGCATCATTTAAAAGTTAGTTAACAATCCAGCAAATATCAGCTTTCAGGAAAGCTTCTCCAAAATACAGGGCCAATGAAATGGAAAAATCCTGCTTTCTCTCTGGCCAGTATTGTGATCTTTTACAAAGCTCCAAGAAGGTTTTGTCTCCTTTTCTGCTTCCAGTAAGATACCTGCTCAACAGAGAAAAGAGACCACCTTATTTAGCAAATTCAGTTCTGAAGTGTAAGTAGCATTTGTGGTGTTTGCTCATGTGAAAAATCATAGGTTTTTATTTCTAGAGTTTTAGTCACTTTAAGGAAAAAAATGTTAAACACAGAGGAATCTAACTATGTGAATAAGTAAGCACATATAAGCATAGAAAGATTTAATCAAGCAAATTAACTTGCATAATGGAAGGATGTGATAATGTGGATGCACATGCTTTTCACATGAAAAACTTGATGGTGATGGAAAGAGTGACCAAACCAAGCTTCAAACTGAGCTCCCATGGGGCTGATAAGACCTCCACCTGAGGCTTATAGCTGCAGCCACTGGTGCAGGTGTGTGTTTGCTCCACGGCTTCTCTGGAAGGAGAACCTCAGATTTCAGTGCCTACACTTGGTGGATCAAAGTGCATTTAGACTGTGTCTTCCTCTGAGAGGAAGCAAGATCTACCAGAAAGTTATCTGGATGATTTGTGTTGGTTATCCACCACATAAACTCACCACAGAGTAGTTCACAGTTGTTATGCC